TTTAATATATATATATATATATATGTATATACACTCATCTATGAGGATGTTTTATATGCAGGAGCTAGAAGGTAGGTAGTAACTTCCCTGTCTGGGAGTCTGTGTGGTTACAGTCAGATCTGAACAGATTGTCCTAGAGCCACTTCTCAGACTGTCCCAAAAGCAAGCAGATGGACTCATCACCAGGCCTGACCTTGCGCTGTCCCTTTGTGCCTTTGCTTTCCAGCTGGCTGCGGTACATTTGGTGGATTCTCACTACTGTACAGACCCTGGCAAGTTCATCTCCGTTCTCTGCACCTCGCTCTCCACCATGCTGCACGTGGAACTGCCCCATGTCAACGTCCTCTCCAAGATGGACCTGATCGAGCAATACGGCAAGCTGGGTAAGAGCCTTGGCGAGAGAGACCTGGAGATTGGGCTGTGGAGTTGGGTGCAGATCAGCTGCTTGGATACGGGGATGTATGGCTGGGAGATGGTGTAAATCTCACCAGCTTCTTGGTGGCGTGTTCTGGCCAGGGAAGCCCCAGTATTTACAGATTGCCTTCAGTGCTTCTTGGTGTTTCCCTGCAGCTTTCAACCTGGATTATTACACGGAGGTCCTGGACCTCTCTTACTTGGTTGACCATTTAGCTTCTGACCCCTTCTTCAGAAATTACCGCCGACTCAATGAGAAGCTGGTGGAGGTGATCGAGGACTACAGCCTGGTGTCCTTTGTTCCCCTCAACGTCCAGGTGATGCAGCAGGAGGAGTGGGGCAGAGAGAGCAGGGAGCGTGGGATATGTAGTCAGCGCGTTTGGTAGCAGCTGGGTTATGTCTGCTTAGAGCCGTGAGAGCTGAGAAGCTCAACTCTGGAGAACCTTGGGGACGGAGGAGGACAGCGAAATGCACCCAGATTTGTAAACAGCTGTGGCAGCCAAAGGAAAAGGCTAATGAGCTGGGGGCTACGTGGGCCTTATGTCCTGGCGTGGGGAATTAAGACTCCCCCTTCATTCGTCTCTTCTGTGCCTGCCTTTCGAATCCGGACAAAGTATTACCTGAAATGTTAAATCAGGGAGCACAAAATAGTTAGAAGATTGGCAGGAACACATTTGGAGGAAGGGCTGAAAACGTTCATCTTGTCGTTTGCAGAAGCATGAACAGAGGCAAATGGGCTGAGATGAGGTGATGAAAGGGAGCGAGAGGGTGGAGGGTGTCAGCCTGTCAGGATTCAGGCTCCGCAGGGGGTGCCCCTGGTTGTCCTGTGGCCCCTCTGGGCTCAGGAAGGCTGACAGCGTGCTCGGGGTGTGGGGCGCTGTGTGGGTGGCCCAGAGCCTCGGAGAAAATCCGTGGTAAAGCCCAAGCGCGAGCTCTTGCCTCTAGGGAAGGGCCATGTTCCCCGCGTGTCATCTCCCTCCCTTTCAGGATAAGGAGAGCATGCGGCAGGTGATGCAGGCGGTGGACAAAGCCAACGGCTATTCCTTTGGAGACCAGGAGCAGAGGAGCTTGGAAGCTCTGATGTCAGCAGCAGTGGGAGCCGATTTCCACTTCACTTCGTATCCTTCTCCACCGATCCTCTGTTGTGTTGAGTTTTAATTTCTCCTTCCTTGGGGAAGAGAGGCTGGAGGCAGGGCTGGCACTTTGCAGGCCCAGGTTGTTGCTAACATCACCTGATGCTGTTTGGTGATGGGGGCTCAGCCCGGACCTTAGCAGACAGTTGTCCACACCAAAGCCACCACATTTGTTGCTAATTGATACGGTGAATGTGAGAGGAATCTTTTGGCAACTTTCTTCTCTCTCTCACTCACTTGGACTGGTTCGTTCCACCTTGTCCAAACCATGCAATTGATTCTCCTGTACTTGTTGGGTCTGGGATCAGCCAGAGCCAGAAATAACTCAGGTGATGCGTGCTGCTGCCAGCGCTGCTGTCTTCCTGCCAGCCTTCAGGCTAATGTGGGGCTGGTTCCTCGCTGAGAACGTTAAGAGCTCCTTGCAGAAGGGAGTGTTTGAGCCCAGCCCCTTGTTTTCCTTAATTACTGCGTTATCAGCACACTTGCAGTGCAGGAGAAGTATGTGCAATCTCAGGACAAAGCCCTGGAAGAAGAAGTGATGGATCTGTAACACACCCACCTCTTCCACAGCTGCTCTCGGTTTTGATGCCTCTCCTTTTCCTACCAGGAGCTTAAGGGATCTCCGTGTCCTGTGACTCAGACCAAGTGAAAGCTTTTCCAGGCAGAGATCTGGCTGCTGGACTCCCTCTGGTGCTTCAGCCCCGCTGCACAGAGCAGCTTTTTTGCAGAAGGGCAATGACTGAGTGCAAGGCAAGCCGGGTCTTTCCTTAGGAACAGGAGAGATCTAGCTGGGTGAAGGCATGGTTAGCAGGAGAGGAGAAGCAAGAGAAAGGAGATCGGCCTTCACCGAGGCTCCTCCTCCCCATCCTGACCAAGAGCCAGAGAAAGAAAAATCAGTTTGAGCAGTGAGACTTGAGACAAAAGTTTTTGGTTTACTGCATAGGAGGAGTGTGCGTGGGCCTCGTACTCAGGTGTATTCAGGCTAAGAAGCCTCCAGTCTGTCTCAAGGAGGACAGAAAGATGGTTGTTTTGGTTTGTTTTTTTTAAATAATGAGGGACTCTTTCTTAATAAAACACTCCTTTGTCTCGCTTTCATCTTGCGAGTTTGCTGAACCTGAATAAATAAAACCAAGAGTGCTGCAAAGCCCAAGGCTAAAAAGCCTCTGGTGGGAACGTCACAGCAGCTGGCGCGTTGTGTACTTTGCAGAAAGGCTCCGTGTTTGCGACGTCGTGTTCCTGTGTGATCTCCCTGAGAACAGACAAAGCGTTTGCTGGAGGGAGCGAGGAAGAGCGACTGTGGGACATGAAAGCAGGTCACTCCTCATGCCCACTTATCCAGGGGCTGAGCGCTGGTGGTTGGAGTGCACGCAGTGCGTGCTGACGGCGGCGTGCAAACTGCAAGCTCGGCTTTTTCAGGGTTTTGATTAAGAAAGACCCTGTGTTACTCAGCAGGAGGTTGGAGCGCATCGTTTGCATGTGGAGCCTTTCCCAGCACCTGGCTTCTCTGCCCTCTTCCACCTTCCCTTTTCTGGGCTTGCTTTCCCCCGATCCCAAATCCTAGGGCTTCCCCTCCTTCCCATGCGATTCCCTCTCGCCAGCCCACTGCAGCTCCTGACCGCGACGGCAGCGGCTCCCAGCCTCCCAGGGATGGGGAGGGTCCCAGGGTCTGTCAGTGATGGGGATGGGGAAGGCTGGGGCGATGAAGAGCAAGGTGTCCACACCGAGCAGCCTTCCGAGGGCCTCCTGGCAGCTCGTGCAGCTGCATGTAGGATGGGAGCGGGTAAGAATCCTGGCTCCCAGCTCGGCGTGCAGACTCAGCATCACTTCTTGCCCAAGACCTTGCATAAGATAAGACGGCTCCTTCGTGCAGGACGGTTTGGCCCTTAGCAGAGCGGTTGCAGACCACCGACTCAGTGAAACTAAAAGTGAGTGGGGTCCTGCGTGGCAGGGACTGCAGCTAGGCAGGGAATTAAAGCTAAATTTTCCTGCATCCCACAGCTTTGTGGATGGAATTTGGAGACAAGGTGGAGCTCAGGGGGAGAAGGAAGGAGAAGGCGCATGTACACACTCACACACAAAAAAGCCTGTGCTTTAACCAGGTCAGTTTGCACTGAAAGCCTACATTCGTATTTCCTATAGAAAAGTAAAATTCCTGTCTTCCGTCAGTGCCTGACCTCTTTTCCTGAGAGCCCAGGGACTTCTCTGGGTATTCCTGGCTGAAACCCGGTGACCGCATTTCAGTGCTCTCTGGGGCTGAAGGTCTGGAAACCAATCTAACCATAACCAGAGCTGAAGCTCCACCCTTGCCCTGTGGTCTGGTGGACTTGTTCTGGTCGTCTTTGAGCCCTGTAGTTGCTGTAAAGAGGTAGAAAATGTGATCATAAAAAAAAAAAAAAAAAAAAATTAATTTATGGCGGCTTTTTTCATGACTTTGGGAGATTTGGTGGCTTAAAAGGGTATTGCCAGGTCAAGCTGGAGTTATGCAAGAGCCATCAAAGCTTTTGAGGCTCTTTGGGTTTTGTGTTGTAATGCCTGGGCAGTATCTGCAGCCCCAGCCGTGCCATGCAAAGGTGACAGAAACTTCTCAGCTCAGGGAACCTCTGGTGTGTCTGAGCCAAGAAATGCTGAGGTCTGAAAGAGCTGCAGTCTAAAAAGTGCAGTGCTGTCACACCAAGGGGCTCTTCGCAGCCCAGGTTTGGAAAGCAGGGGCTGAATTGGGACCAGCAGCTCAGCAGGGACGATGGTCGCAGCTCCTGGTTGGGGCGAAGCAGAAAATGACTCTGCAGCAGGCAAGCATGACCAGGAACCTCCAGTGCGAAATCCAGCCGGCTCCTGCACCCACATGTCCCCATGTTGGGAGGGGACGGCCTCGCCAAGGCTCCTGGGGCTGAGGGAGGTGACGCGCTGGCTCCTGTCACTCCCGTTGAGCAATCAGCTGGGGCACAGGGCCAGGATTAGTCACCCCGGTTCAGGCACATCCCAGGGAGGTGGTGGTGGGGGGCACACTTTCTGCTGAGCTGGTCCTACCTGCCCCAGCCCCTCCAAGCCTGGTGCTGGGAGAAGCCAAGCCCACCCTGACCATGTGTGGACCTCCTGGGCAAGACTGAATGTGGCAGATCACAGGGTTTTTTTGGGATGGAGGGGTTTTTGCTGCCCACTGAGATGGGGTTTGCTGTGTCCCTTCCATCTCTTCCAGCCCCAGCTGCTGCCTTGTGGCCAGACCACTGCACCAGAGCCCTGGTTGCACAGCCCACCCAGTGAAGTGCCACTGCAGCTGCAGGGTCCCCCTCCATACCCCAAAATGCAGTGCCTGGATGAGGCCAAATCAGCCAGATGCATGCAAGTGCATACCAGGCTGAAATGTCGAGCATTTTTAGCAGCCCCCAGCCACTGCAAGGTGGGTCAGGGCTCGGCCTGTGCCAGGAGTCTCTCTGGGGCCATGGGACAGACGAGGTGGTGGGCTAAAATCCAGAGGATGGGGCCAGCGTGGCTCCAGGAGCATCTGCCCCAGGAAAGGTTGGGGGGTGCCAGCTCCATCATGGGGCTCCTGCTTGAAGGCTGTGTTTCCCCACCAAGCGGTGCTCTCTGCAGGGGTGTGAAAAGCCTCTCCAAACAGCTAAAAAGCCCCCAGATGGAGTAGCTGGGGCAACCCTGGCAGCACCCCGGGGTGCCTGCCCAGTTACAGCCAGCCAGCGCCGTCTCCCTTGGGTGCTGCGACACCGGGGAGGTGCTGTTGGTGGGTCAGCCCTCCGCCGGCCCCCCTGCGC